CCTACACGGACGCTCAGTTCTAGACAAAGCTAACATTGCTCTTTTGTAATTGATGGATAAAATTTTGATACAAACAAATCTAATCACATCATCTATTGATAAACAAATATATAAACTGTGATATACATATAGCACAATTTTCTGTTTAGGTTTCATTTTCTTGCTTATTTATTTTTTAAATTCAAAAATTAGTATTAAGTTCATATCTTGTGAAATTAAGTCAAAATCAACAATTAATTTTAATTATATATTTCATGGTATTCACTACTTCTCAACTATATATTTCATCAACTTTTATCAAAATATGATAAAAACTTGATTTTAATCCTACCAAACGGGGCTTGGTACAATTCATTCATCCAAAAATCATTTCTTAAAAAATAATAATAACAATAATAAAATTTAAAAAAAAGAGTGAAAACTCAAACAAAAGAGTACAAGCATATTTGAGAATGGTTTATAAACTATTATTCATAAATAAATATAAATGATCATTGGATAAGTGAATAGACTCTTGATACATCTATCAAATTTATTCGTTCAATATAGTTCTGATCGAATGAAAAATATTTTAAATAATAATAATAATAATATCTTCATTTACAATAATTAAAAATAACATAATAAAAAATATTTCTTCCTCATCTCAAGTCTCAACCATTTGAGCTGGCCTGCTAAATAGATCTATTGTTGCATTATTAAAATGAGGATCTAAATGTTCGTATTTAAAAGTTGGATGCCAATTTGATACAAGTACTAAAAATAACTATTATTACTTGTATTCAAAAAGTCATAAGACTTTTATGTCCAGTTAATCAATATGATAGTTGATATTCAAAAAGTCACGAGACTTTTATGTCCAGCTAATCAATATGATAGTTGAACAGTCTTTTTTCTTTTTTTTATCCAGGTATCCCAACTTACACTAAACTAAATTCTGGACCCTCAGGACCCTTGTCCCTAGAAGTTTGGAGGGGGTAAATCGCGGGTTATGCCTCAACTGGATCACAGGTTCCCCCACCGCCTGTACACTTCTGCGCACAAGAGATCCTCCTTCAAAGTGATTACTCCATACCAAATAAATCTTGCCGCAGGTTCCCACCAGGATTCGAACCTCCACCCTATCGCTGGAAGCAAGACAATGCTGATTGATCCACCAGTTGAGCTATGCCCCGGGGGACAGTTGAACACTGTCTTTTGCTATGATGCTATATAGCGCACTGATATTCTTACATCTAGTTGATATTCAAATTTTAATTTTTTTAACTCATTTTTAATATATATAATTATCAAAATTTAATAAAAATTTAATTTTTAACTAAACTAAACAGGGATTAATTGAATTTATAAATTTAATTATACATGCATTGCACATAAACTAATGTAATTGTAGATAGCATGATTTTATCCACTAATTATTAGCTCTACAATTTTTGAAGAATAATGTTTTCAAACATTTATGTGGCAATGAGACTGCAGCTACATCACAATTTCGTTAGAAATTTTGATAGTGATCCCTTCGTCGTATATGCTTGTGATAAGCACTAGATAGTATTACTCTTCTTTGAATATCATAACAATTAAACTTTTATTTTTTAATTGGGCTAAATTTAGTATTGGTCGCTAACATCAATTAATTTTCAAGGTTAGTCACTCTGTGCTATTGTTACTAAATTTGACATCTCAATCTAACATATTCTTATAATATACCACATAATTGATCCATGGTTGCATAATTTGAAAATATTTGCTACCTAATTATAATTTAACAAACAATAATATCAAAACTTTGTTGTCAAGACATGATTGGGTGTCATATTTACTTGAAAAGGCATGCATCAAATATTAATATCATGTAATATTGTGAAAATCTTGGATTCGATTTGAATACCACCATACACATATACAGTAGGAACATTTTATACCATCTTATATTCTATATCATTTGTTTCAAGTGACAACATCATTCTTGCAAGGCCAACCCTAAAATTTTGGAAGCTTTTGACCAATTTCAACTATTATATATGTGTGTGTGTGTGTGAAATAAAAAATAATAATTTTTTTGGGGGCCCTCATCGAAGTAGGACTTTAGACGATCGCCTACCCCGTTTATAGTTAAGACCGGCACTTCATTCTTGACAATTATAAGACACTTTTCTTGTTGGAAATTGCCATTAAAACTACGAATAATATTTCAATTGCGGATTGTTTTCTGAAAATGCTATTTAAATAAATATGTACAATCTCTCTTTAATTATTTAGATTTTTCTGGATGAGATGGTTAGAAAAGTTTCACAGTTAGACAAAAGAGTTGGGAGTTTCAAAGATATTCACTTGTTAAGGATTGTGCGCATAATACTGATGATTAAATAGAACCGGACTTGCACGTTAGATGACGTATTTAAGATAAAATTTAAATAAATACGCGAGTCATTTTTTTCCTTAAATCTTAAGATAAAATGATTAATATCTTCAAACACAATGAAGAAAACGGTGTTAGTCAAAGCTATGTAGCCCACCCCACTTATTCAGTCAAAGGGAAAGATGCAAAATGCTAGTGGTATAAGAATATACTCTTCTCTTTGTGTTGATGTCAGCCATATTTATACCATCTTTGATAGGAAGAGTATGAGAAATCTATATCACAGGGGGAAAAAGAAGGATAAATTGCACTTTCAGATCTCAATTATTTGAAAAGATATATATCCTTGGACTTTCAAGGTAGAGCGTGTATAAAAAGATAACATGTACGTTAATCGAAGTACAAAACCTTTTAAAGCTTGTTTAGAGTTGTTCATAATCAATTTAAATTATAAATAGATAGCAATTGAGTAATGGATAATTGTATAGTTCTTGTTGGTCCACGAAATTGAGTGGTGGATACGTGAGAATGGGAAAAAGAAATAGCATGCACTAGATTACACTCCCAAAACAACCCAACAAAATAACATTATTCGTCAAAACCCGACTGGAGTGGCCTTCAAACTCGTATCACCTTAAAGAATAATTCTTCAAATGCATGGTACACCACCTTTTCTTCTTAGAAAAGCCATTGGAACATATCTGAAAAGAATCCCATAAGTTCGGAATCAGTCTTGAATATGAGATTTTCTTCGTTACCTTATCACTTCTACTTTAATACTTTCTGTCTTTTCTCCACTTGACATTGAGCTATTTATATCAAAGGAATTTCACTCAATAATGTCCTTATATCTTCTTTAACTTCTCCACCCTTTTCACTTGAAGAAAGATGGCATCCAAGGGAGATATTATTGTGAAAACGGGAGTGGATGATTTTTCATTATTGAACGAGTGCCATGAAAAAAAGAAGAGTTTACCTCATACTACAAAGATACCTAAGTATGCTCTAGAAAGGTCATCATCTTATGTACTTGCACAGAAATATGTAGATTGTGTTTATCAGTATCAATCACCACAAGATCGTATTTATCAGTTCAAACCATCTTCTGGAACTGAAAAAGAGATGAAAAGTGTTACTTTTGAGGTCACCACAGTGGAATTTTGATTGAATATGGATCAATATTCTTATTACTGGTCTCTATTTACAATATTGTAGCATGTGTAATAGAGTTGAACAAATATTAATTAGTTGAGTAAGCTACTATGTCGTGCGAATGCACAAGCATATATATGGATGTTCCTTATATTGAAGTCTTTTGCAATATATATGGAATCCTTAGCTATATGTTGGCTCGTTACTCTATTCCCTTATTCATTATAAATAGTGGGACATGAGCTCTTTCTTCGTTTAGTCCCATTCTTGTACGTGCAACAAAATAGAAGTTAGATTTCATAGAAGTTGCAAACAATAAGAAGTATCCATTCCTTGGTTTTAGCTCATAGCATCTAGATGGTAGGGAAATGTCTTTAAAAGAGCGCTTCCCCCATCCAATCTGCTCTAGCTCGCAACCCGGGCTCATGCTCATCTAAAGGACGACTAGCCTATGGCTCATAGTCCCTTTCTTATATGCATACAATGTGTTTGTTTATACAATGTATCAAGTCTTTAATGCATATATACAGGCTTCTATTGGAAGGTTTTATAACCTCATAAATAGGTTATAAAAGAAGTGCAAGATAGATTTAAAAAAGGAATATCCTCATAATATTCTTGTGTTTCACTTGCTCATATTAATTTCTCTACATTTATAGTTCACTAATGAATAATCGATTGAATCGGTGACGCAACCCCATGGTACATGTATCTGGCCAGGTCAAGTAATGTCACTTGCTTCAATGGTACTTAACACCAATTTATATGGCATGTTCAGTTGGGTCTAGTCCATCGTGAAAAAGGAGTATTGGGAACAGTAACCTATTTGTGCCTTAAATGATATAGCCCTTGTTTGAGCCCCATTTTTCGGAGAAAAATGAATTTTTTAATAGTGTATTGAAGGAAAATGTGTCGTTTAAAAATAATGAAAAATTTTAAATTTACATGTAATATTATTTTATTGAATAATTTGTGATTGAAATGATGTCAAAATACTGTTAAAAAATGAATTTTTTCAAAAGAATGGGGCTCAAACAAGGGCATAATTGGAAAGACCAAGGACCAAATAAAAAAATAGACAGCACCATTTGAGGAGTTGGTTGTTCCAATGGTCATTAAACTTAAATCCACATATTTGATTGATCACTAAAGTTTAAAATATCGAGTTTCGATTATTGAACTTAGGTCTATATTTTCGATTGCACACTAAAGTTTAAAATGTTAAATTTTAATCACTGAATTTTGAAAAATGTCGTACGTTACTCACTAAAAACTCGACATTTTTTAAAATTCAACATTTATGCTAATAAGTAACGTATAACATGAATATAAACTCTATGGTCAAAATCGATACTGTAAATTTTAATGAGCAATTGAATATATAAATATAAATTTAATGATTAAAACTCGACATTCTAAATTTTAATAATCAATTAAAGATATGAACCTACGTTAACCGAACAGTTAATTCCCGTTTGGGCCTGCCAAATTGTCACTCTAGTGGACCATTTCACTCACATACACAGACGCTCACCTGCAAATTTTCTCGCCGCCCATGGCAACAGCTCTCTTCACCACGCGCCGCCCGCTAGCCTCCCTCCTCTCCCATGCCATCTCTTCCCGGCGCCACCGTCTGTCCCTCCCCCTCATCAACTCCGCATCCGCCGCCACCTACCCACCCCACCAAACCAATTCGATCATAATCCCTACCCGGTTCAAGACATCCGGGTCGGGTTACTCCCCTCTGAACGACCCATCTCCTAACTGGAGTAACCGTCCGCCGAAGGAAACAATACTCCTCGATGGCTGCGATTACGAGCACTGGCTTATAGTGATGGAGTTCAATTCGGACCCCAAGCCCACCGAAGAAGAGATGATTAATGCTTATGTCAAAACCCTGGCCTCCGTTGTTGGAAGGTAAGACAACAAAGAAACTTCCATAAAAGAAGTTGAATGATTTACAAAACCCGTTTGCTGGAGTGATTAATTATTAGAAAAGTATTCACGTTTGTCTAAATTTACAATGACAACAAATTTTTGCGTGGAACCCAATTATTGTTTAGTTTCTACATGCGACCCACTGGATTGTAAGAAAGCAATGATTGTTTGGCTGGGATTTGAAAGTTTATTTTCAGTAATTGAGTTAGTTTGATAAATATATATTTTTAAATTTGTTGAAGTTGAAAATAAGGAAGAGGTAGAGTTACATACAAAATAACTTTTTAGGTTTAGCAAAGCGTTCTCTCTAAGTCTTCTACACGAGTGGTCATGCATTGTGGTAAATAATGATGGTTTCATTGCAACGAATTCATTGTTCGGATGGGAATTTAGTGGAGATTATGACATGGCATTGGACATTATACAACGAAAGATTCTACTTGTACATAATTATTGCACATAATGGTGTCTATAATGTGACGTGACAATCATCCAGTTGTTGATGTGCAAGTGTGATATTTGAATTAAAGATTGGATCCAGTGTTACGTGTAATTATGAATACCATTATGTAAACAATTATGTACATGTAGCACTTCCCTTTTTAAGGACTTGTATTATATGTGCTGGCAATGTAAAGGAAATTTTGCAGAAGCAGCAATGTAAGGGAGATTTTGCTGAAGCTTCAATATTGTTTCATGTGCGATAATTTCATCCATCCCGCATGTATTAGAACATTGTTAATGCTTGTCGGGGAGTGTTTAAATTATAAACATTTTTGGTCAAACTTATTTATTATCCACACATTCCGTGGACCCACAAATTCTACCCACTTATCCACCATTCATTTCTATCTCTTTATAATTTAAACCAATTATAATCACTTCCCAAACATGCATGTAATGTCATGATATGATTGCAAGAGTGCTCGTGTAATATAAGCAGATAAAGATTTTATTCGTTTTCTAGTTCTGTTTATTCATTGATATACGTCTTATTTTAAGATAGCTTTGTATTAAATTTTAATGAATATTTTTGAATGCTTGTTTCAGTTGTTTGTGCAACAATCTTGCACACAATTGTGCAGTAGAAGTTACGAATTTTTGGTTGAGATTGCACCAATGAGTATCGGATCTGAAATATGAAATGGGATTATTTATTTTTTCACATTCTCGTTTTTCCCAAGTACTTTTTCTTTATAGTGGCTCATGAGTGTTAGAGAGATGAATACTGACATAGGTGAACCCATTTTTTATATTATTTATGGGATACACAGATTTAATGTCCTTTAATGTCGATCTATTTGAGAGGCTATTAATCTTTTCCTCTTTTTGTCGTGGATGTTGCGAATTATTTGAAAAATCTAAGGTCCTTTGGTTTTTCCTTCCTTCTAACATACAATTTTTACTTCCCTCTTTCACTTGGAAAGACCTCATTACCAAGTACGAGAGAAAAGCTTCACCATCTTGTAGTTGCTACATTTATATATATTTTTTAAATTTTATATGTCTGTTGACTGTATGTCTATCTATTGCACACTAGGTTTATACACACACACAACTTGAGTATTTTTTGTGGTGTGTACGAGGATTGTTAGTAATTGGTTGCTATGTGCAGTGAAGAGGAGGCAAAGAAGAAGATTTATTCTGTTTGCACAACAACATATACTGGTTTTGGTGCTCTAATCTCTGAAGAGCTTTCATACAAAGTCAAAGGTATGAATTGCGTGCATGTGTTTTATTGAGTCTTCAGGCTTCTTTAGCCTAATGCTATTTGTGCTTTTTGGTTGACGTTTTGGTATAGATATCAACATTGATGAATTTTCATGGATGCCAATTAACTCTGAGATTGGCTTTGGTGTTCAAATTTTCACCTTTTTGGCCTGTGGCTGTTTGAACTCTCATCCGCATGAGATCATAATCTTCAGTTTGATTGTTCTGGAATTTATCTGCGTTAGGGTTTAGATCATGCATTGATTTTAAATTTCGTATTACTGGCTTTTACACATATATCCTCTCTACTTAATTTCTTAATCCACTATGAATTGTGACATAATAATAATCTGTATGTAAGAGAGTTCGGCGTGGCAGTTTTCCAAATAAGTAAATGAGGGTTCAGGGTTCAAATAATTGTGTCTTACACAGTTACACTTGATTGTTTAAGTTTGGCTCGACTAGTTATGGTTTTTTGACATTGACAGGCCTACCTGGAGTTCTGTGGGTTTTGCCTGATTCATACCTTGATGTTCCTAATAAAGACTATGGAGGTTTGTGCACTAAATTTTTTGAATCAGACTACAAAATTAATTCCATCCTCTGGTAATCTGTAGTCGAGTCTGTATCTTATACAGTATTTTTGAATTAATAGGTGATCTGTTCGTTGATGGAAAAGTCATCCATAGGCCACAGTACAGGTTCAATGAACGACAAAATACAAGGAACAGGCCTCGGCCTCGATATGATAGGCGCCGAGAAACAATGCAAGTAGAAAGGAGAGAGCAATCACTGGCAGTGAATCAGCATAAACCTACCTCCACAGTTGAGCAGAATACGTCTCAAGGTGTCGGGGGAGGCTATCCTCCGAATCATGGAGGATTTCAGGGCAACAATGCATAAATAGATCTCGAATTTGGAATGGGAAAATGGAATCGATCTCAGGTTTTGCATATTATTGCTCAAAGATCAGCCCTCGTCTTCATTTGGAGTTCGGAGCATGTTTTGTATGGAAAAATGCGCATTACCCGCACTTTTATGAGGTTTATAGATGTGAATATTGTTTGTGCTCCCTTACATGAGACCTTTTTCCTTACAATTTAGAACTTTTGGCGTATGGGTCGTCTAGGTCTAGCTGTATTGGTCTGCAAAATTTGATTCCTCACGTTTTCCTTTGTTATTCAAGAGGACTATCCTTTTTGTGTACTTTTCCTCTATAATGGCACGAAAACCCATTCTAAAGCAACTGTTACATCCCTTCCCTTGGCCATTTCTTGTAGCGATCTGTTTACTTTCGAATCTTACATATGGAAGTTACGTCGTGTTTACAACGATAGTTTTAGTGAAAGCACCCATTTTCCGGGTGGATGGAGCCCATCCTATTCCTTGGCTGATTAGAGTAGTGTAACTGTTAAAAATGGGTTATCATGAACGTTGGTTCATAGGATTTGGTTCTTACCGTTTACTTCAAAATTCACGTTTTGTGAAATGTTGGATTTGTGAGTTTGTAAGTACATTGTACACGTTTTTTAGGTCGATTTTAAAAGTGAATTTTACTGTCTCGTGAGGTGACCACCACAAGACGACACTGGATTGAGCATTTTGATCAAGATTAATTAGGATTTGTTTGACATGTCTTTTGAGAAGTCAAATGAAGGTTTTAAAAGTCAAAATTTGCTTTTGGATTCATTTTGCTAATTTTATGAAAGTGCATTTTTTAGTTAGACATGTTTTTAAAAAAAGTTGGTTCAATGTGACTTTTTCTAAACGTACCCGTAACAAGTTCTTTCAAAAACTAGATTCACACAAAAATTAACATTTTTTGTTTCAAATGTTCTTCTACAAAAACTAAGGTTTATTTGATTGCAAAGATGAAATTTGGGTAGAAAGAAGATGAATTTCAAGGAATTGAATTGTCTATAAATTGTTTTACTAAGCATTGTCAATTAATAGTATTTGATTAATATAATTTTTCGCCTGGAAAATATTGAAATAAAAGTGTATTTTGATATTCGTTTGACTTTATTTTTCATGGCAATTGTCAATTTAAGGAATATCTTTTTTTTACAATTGTTCCTAGAACTTGTTTCCATTGCCAAAGAAAAAAAATAAAAAAAATAAACCTAGAAAATAAAAAATCATCCAAAAAATTATCTATTTTTTAGTGTTCGTTTGATTTTGTTTTACATAAAAATTGTCAATTTAAGGGATATCCTTTTTTACAATTATTCTTAGAATTTGTTTCAATTACCCAAAAAAAAAAAAAAAAGAAAAATGTAGGAAAAACCTGGTAAACCTCAAAAAGCTGGAAAAATCTGATGTGGCAAAGATTTGTTGGAAATCATTTCTATGGAAAAATTCTACAAATGAAATTTAATTTTCATTTTCCATAAAAAAGAAGTGCCTATCAAATAGACCTTAAAAATAAAAGCAAAAATCATGTTAATTGAGCCCTCAACCTTTATTATTTGAAGATCATTCTTTTAATTTTTTTTTCTCATACTCATTTTCAATCACACATTCTCAAAATAAAGTAAGTATCACTTAAATCCCAATTATTTGTAAAATATATTTTTCTCTTTTTTTACCATACATTTTTAATAAAATAATATTACACGCAAATTTAAAATATATTTTTTATTTTTAACCGTACATTCTTCATCAACATATGCATGCATATGGATTTGTTGATTGACATTTTCGAAAATGATCTCCTAAGCACTGGTACTTAGTTTATATTAAATACCAGTGACATGGCACACCATTTAATTGGTGAATAAGCTAAACACCGATGATTAGGAGCTCATTCTTGTTGACATTTTACCTTTTGATGCTCATTTTCCATTTTAAACTATATCAAATATCTTTAATTCACTCAAATTTCAAGAAAAGAAGCTTCTTTTTCCTTGAAATCTTTCACGACCTGTAAATATATGCATATAATTTGTGTACGTACTGTACTGATTTGGGATTTTATCTTTGATGCACTTTCTCATGTGTAAATTAATTTCAGGTACCTTGACTTAAATGGATTTCAAGAAAAGAAAGCTTTTTCTTGAATCTTGATGTTAGGAATGTTGATCGGCTGTTTTTGTTAAATGATTTCTTTCGGACTTAGCAAGAAAGTATTGCAACGGCTAATAAAATGTCTTGTTGATTAAAAGCTATAGACAAAGCAAGTTGGTCATGGGAGAGCATACCGAGAACATGTAACCCATTTTTGCGTTGCCAACTTCCATCGATCTTCGACTCATTTGGTAAGACTTTACTTTTGCTTCTAGTAAAATAGCTTGCCTAGGAAGCCAACTTAAATCAACTTCTTTTAAACACTCTTCTAATCATCAGAGGAAAGTAGCTTCTTAATAAAAACTTTTGGCCTTCAAAAGTCCTACCAAATGAGCCCTAATTAAGTTATAACTTCAGGCTTTTGTCTATGATCAATTACAGTTTTAAATGGACCTGCCGTGTACTACCTGGTCAAGACCTGTGAAATATATGCTTTAATTATCTATAAATATTCACAAAAGTATTCAGCAACCCCCTTTTAACTATAAAGTTCAATTATACACTAGAATCCCCACTCATCACGAGTTAAAGAAGAAAAATGTGCCAAATCCGGCATAATCAATATAGTTTCGCTCCATTTTGAGCTTGTTATGTTAATATTTCATTAGCATCTTCCTCGTTTTCTAGTTGTACGATCAATTGTTCCATCACTTTCTTGTACATAGGCATGTAATGATCTCTTATCATAGTCCTCGACAATCGGAGCTTACTGTATAATTCTCGTGGTGTCTCATGGATACCAACTTGCTCGTCTACCGAACCATTGTGACTTGAATCGCTTGCCTCAGATGAAGGTACAGAAACCATATGCATTATCTTACCTGGAGGATAGAAATGGAGATTCTCTGAAACATCTGAGGAAGAAATGGGTGTTCGACTTTCAACTGCATCGGACAGTACCTTCTCCTCTTCGGTAATTTCCTCTGCTGCAGCTTCTTCTTCTTCCTGTGTATGGACATCTGCCTCACTCTCCTGCCTCTGGAGTTCCTTCTCGAGTTCGTACCATAACTCGCCTTCTGTAATATTCTCTAGAGTTGATGTAGCGACTGTTTTATCCACATGACGGAGATCATCCTCGTCATCAGTCTCGTCTATCCCTGACTGATCTGACGAAGAACAATATTCTGGCTTATCTGGGTCCAGATCTCTGCTTATTTTTTCTCTTGCAAGAGATTCTGTTGTCTCAGGAATAAGAGGGATTGCCTCAGGCAAATCGTCCACTTTGGAATCAGATGAAGGAACCACAGCACGACGGCGGGGACCCATACAAGTCCATGATGATATGGAAGAGCGAGTCCTTACAACTGCTTGAGCTACATCTTGTGCACGCTTCATCATGACCTGTATTCCATCTAGTAGAGGTCACCTTCCACAGTTCGAAAACACAGCATTTTTTTTTTTTCTAAATCTGAATAGCAATATACATAATGAATAATATTACAACAAATCAGTCACGAAGTAGCTTCGACTAATTAGTGAAAGCAACTTAACATTGTATTCAGTTTGCACAGAAGAAATAGCATGTCTCCTCGACGAATAAGCGAACGCCTGCTAAGTTTAAAGGTACATAAAAGTTACTTTTAAGTAATTTCCAAACAAGGGTAAGTTACTTTTTTATTACTATTAGTAAAAAAAAGTTACTTATTTTGTAAATAACTCTTACCTTACTACAAACTAAGTAACTAGCTCGTTTCTAAGTCTTATCAGTAAAAATCTATTTATAGTAAAAAATTTAAGAAGCTTAGTTTAACATGCTTTTCTAAATCTGAAACTACTACTTATCCTAAACGAAGAAAACATGGTCATAACATTTTGCTTAAATTCAATTACAATAAGCCCTTGTATGGGAAATGTGTGGTTTTTTAGGAAAAGTTTTGAATTTGCTACAATATTATTTTATTGAAGAATGTGTGGTTGAAATAATGTCAAATCACCGTTTAAGAATGTAATTTTTGAAAAAATGTGGGTCAAACAGGGCCTAAGTAATGGAGGAAAAAGGCTATTATTTGCTTCCGCACATTCCCACTTCCCATCAAGGGCTGTAACTGTGTAACATCTAACCTCAGTGCTGCTCGAGACAGGTCGCAGAAGTGCACCTGCACCAACAACCCTTGCTTTAGCATTCGCTATAGATGGTAGACGAGACCCAAGAGCAGTGGCAGATCGATAAATGACCTTTAAAACTCTGTTGCGCTCGACTTGATCACGCAGATCATTCGACCAAGACGATGCAGTTACCTGATGGTACAATGGGTTTCATATGGATTTACAAATTCTAATTGCTAAATGAACTGAGTTTAAGTTAAATTGAGATCCCCAAGAGATCTCTCATTTCTAATGTTTCTAAATGAATAAGAATTTGCATACCTCCGAACGAAGATCATCCACAGAAGCAGCTGAGAATGTAGGCACCAGATCAGAGCCATTGATAATTGTAGTGATGAAGTGTTTCCCTGATTCCGCCAACTCCCAGGTCATACAGGCAGCTGTAGGCGAGGTAGTTGTAATTAAAAAACATAGAAAAGAACAATATTCTTGTCTCTCTCAATATTAAGTAACAATATGTGTTCAGGCGTGCTTTTTCCTATTTTGATTGAGCAAACAATGGACACACCACACCAAAGTATTGATATTTCAGAATCAACATTATATCACCATTTCAACAACAATGATCACAAACTAATAAATATGTTTGGAAACTAATAAATATGTTTGGCACGTTTAAAAATAATTTATAAACATTCAAGCCACTTTTTATCCACACATTTAGTGGGACCCACAAGTACTACCCACTTATCCACCACTTATTTCTTTCTACTTATAGTTTAAACCATTTATAAACTCTTCCCAAACATGCTCTAAGTCTTTCTCAATAATTTTGAAATCAACTAAGTGTATCCCTTCTCATTGCTGCATTCACACCATTTGATCCACATTTGACCCAGTAGAAATATTGTAATACCCATACCTATGGCCTAATTTTATTAATTTAGATTTGGCCCATTATAAAAAAATAGAAAAATAGACAAGATTAATATTTTAGCCCAACCAATCACATGGAAGTCCACTATAAATAGGCATCATATGTCCCATTTTCAAGTACATTCATTTTTCCATGAAATACACACAAATACAAAAATAGTATATTCTTTAGTACGTTGGTCAAGAGTTAAAGTGCCAAATACTCCAGTATTTCTCTTATCATTTTCATGAGATATGGCAAGTGTAAAAGTATTTTTTTATGGAATTATATGCGTACGTTAGAGTTTTTGGAACATTGATTATGAGGCCTTTTATATTTCTTATAAGTTTGGACCAGAGTATAGTAGCGCTACTCATGAAAGTTTCATACCACCTGTGTTTAGCATAGATTTTCATGTCTCACTATGTATGTATGAATAAAGTTCCTTAAATTCTATACAAATATTAATCCATGTACTTATATGCTTATTGAGATTTTGTTTCATCCCCCCCAAAAAAAAAATAAAAAATCCCCTTTTAGGAAATTGATGGTTCGTGACAATTAAGGCATGAGAGGGCTGTCAAATTGGTAAGCGAAAGAAACCTAACAAGCTTTTTTTAATTTTTTTATTGAAGAACTCTTATTTAATTATTGGTTTGATAAGATTGTTAAACTTCTAGTATTTTATTTTATGTTGACGTCAACATTTTATGTTTCAATCTTACAATTTCATGATATTATTTAGGCCTTGTTTGTTTATCATTTTTATCAAAATACATTTTTCTCTCACTTCTTTTTAACCACACATTCTTCGTTAAAATAATATTACACGTAATAAATTTTTTTCCTTATTTTTCATTCACAAGTTGTCCATCAGCTACTATTCTAAAATTCATTTTTCCATAAAAATGAGTGTCAAACACCCTCTTAAATAAATTTTAAGCTATTGAAAGTGCAATATGATAATTAAGCGACGATTTTAGTGACACTCGAACTTTAAAACTCGGGTCATCACATATATTATATAGAATACTTTGTAAGCTGAATACTTATTTTAAGAATCACAATAGATTTTCTAGTGTTATATTAGTTGTTTCCTACATAGATTAGATTTATTTAAACCTATATATAGAGGGTCCTTGCATTGTAATATTTAGACTTTGATATTGAATAAACTGATATTTTCTCCTCCTAAATTCCTCTCTATTCTTTCCATCTCTTTCTCCCCTCTCTTCTTTTTTCTTTCTCAATCTTGTTTTTGTTCGATTTTGTTCATCGTCAATTTGGTATCGTAGCAAGTCACTTTGGCCAAATAAATTTCATGAAGTTTCAATAGATATTTAAAAATTCACTGTAGCAGTCATAACAACAAAATCCACAATCCCTTGACCAGTCACCATCCTCTATACCCATCACTACCTTTACCCGTTGAGAGACCTTGAACCACAACCTTTAAACCTCTAATAACAAAAGCAGCAGCAGCAACAGCAGCAGGAACTCATTGGTACAAAATCAGTTGGGAGATAGAAATTCGCTTTTTGTTTATTTTAGTTATTATTTAAAAAAATGAAACATCAATATTCTTTTATCACGTCCACTGGATTTGTTCATATTGTGTTAATCATCACCATCACTATCAAATTTAGTCAAAATCTTTGCAACCGAGTGAAACATATGCTATTGGAATCACATTGATCTTGTGAATGATTAGAGCTTGTTCATGTCTATGTATGACGCTTACAAACACCTAAGTCTGCTCCAAGATGGCATCACATCCACTTGCTGACTTGCATTCTTATTTTTTATATTATCAATCAAAATATGGTGACACATCCATCTTAACATCCTAATTTTGTTATGTTCAAGTAATGGACAATTGTTCTTTGTGGGTTTCTCCTAGATGATGCCACATTTGCTCACATGCATTCTCATTTCTTATATTATCCATCAAAATATGGTCACACGTTCATCTCAGCATCCTAGATGTTCAAGTTATGGACAACTATCTTTAATGACACAAAGCATCATAAAGCACAATTAGTTCAATAAGCCTTTTAACGTCACAGGAATCTATCTTCTTATAACATAACATCCTTGTAGCACTTCTCCATTTCACAGTTTGTTTTAAACATATGCATTACATAATCTTCAAGCGGCTCATATTAATGATCAAACCTAAATACCTAAACAATTGCTCTTTTGGACAACATGAGAGTTACAATCGTTCTTAATCCCACTATAACTAAAATGGGCATACCATCTTTATTTCTACTCAACGTACCTGTAAATCCCAAAGTACTCCAATTTTTTAACTTGTGATTTTCATCTTCTTAGTTTCATTTACTAAAACTATGTCATCATTGAATGATATGCACCAAAAGACCTTGTTATGGATATACCTCGTCAGCTCATCTAAGAGAAAGATAAAAACTCAAGACTTAATCTAGATGCAAGCCTACAGTTAAAGAAAATCATCTACTACTACCGCCACTACAAGCGACCTGTTGTATTCCGTTTGATAATATCATATATCACCAAATCCAAAAGGAAAGGGAAGCACTATGTTAGGAAAATGACACTTGAAATATAGTCTAGTCAATGAAGCACATTGCAACGTACCTGGAGCAAAGGTGACACAAGTGCTCGAGGATAATTCTTTCTGTTCTCGAAGGATGTACGTCAGCAGTGCAGCTGTACCACCACCAAGTGAGTGACCAACAATCTGGAAAAATGATGGGGAGCTTGATCATATTACTAACAGAAGCATATGAATATATGCAGGTTCATATAGCAAATGAATTTTCAAAAGAACTAGGCTAAAAAAATTAGAATATTTAAAAAGGCATGGAAACAACTCGTTATAAATAAATAATTTTGCACCAGAGTTCTTTTGATCTCAAATGATGCTGACCAGAAGCGCATTCCATTATTTGACAATAATAATTTAGTTGAGAAACCAGGAACAGGATATACACAAAAACAGACACTCTGGACCTCCCACCTCCACCCAAAAGGGGAAAAATGAAAGAGAATATGAAAAGAAATAAGAAATAGTAATAGCTAGAATAGGATACACGGATATGGGTTATGAGGTCGAAACCAAAATTTTCCCCCGTTTCTTCCAGCCACGTCAGTAATAACTTAAACTTCTGTACAGCTTCTGTCAAAGGTTGTCTGTACGTCTAGCTTAATTGAGATTCTTTTGTCAATAGTCGTACATAAAAGGGTTCAGTCTTTTTGGAATTCCTGCACACTTTCATTCTGTCGTTTTTTTCATTCCAACATCTCTCTATCATTCCATCTCTCTTATTTGCTATACCTTAATTGTTACCATTTGTTGAGAATTGAACCCATGACCTACAGCCTTCAAAAGTGTGATTCCAAAATTAGAAAAGGAGAAAACGTGTTTTTGGATTAACACCTTATTATTGAAACTCTACAGCTGAATTGTGACATGTGATGATTTCCTAACCATTGGATCTTATTCTAGATCCTTCTATCTACATAACTATGAGATCTTTGGACAGCTATACACATTTAATGAGTGATAGACTTTTCTTCCAGCCTTTAAGTTTCTCTCTCTCACGTCTCACTCTCAAAAAGAAAAAGTGACTCTCTCTTCTCTCATTACTAGCTCTCAGACTCGGCCCCTTCATCTGTCTCTCTCTCCCCTGTGCGAAAAGCCTCTTCTACTTAGTGATATTATGGCTTGATTCTTAGAGTATTTTCTGAAAAAAGAATCTATTAACATCAAGAAATATTGTAGACCCATATGGATATTGTACTATTTCAGTTTTGGATAAGTTGAACCTATGGAATTCGAGTTTTGCCTCTATTTCTTATGAAATCTTAGTGATCTCGGCTTCTCCATGTATAAAATAGTGGCTAGTTTGTTTTGTTTCTTGGTGGAATGTTGTTTGCTGTGAAAGAAGCACCTGTAGTTGTTATGTGAGAGAGGGAAGTTTAGTTGCTTTTGAGATCTTTGTGATCTTGGCCGGTTCTAGTGTGGAATAGCGATTGGCTTTTGGTGTTCTTCATAAGATAAGTCTTTGTGGCTTATTACTTTGTAATATTTTGGAATATTATTGTTGCATATTTTTGGGGCTTTATAGTGTAACCGAACTTTATTCATTTTTTAGTAAATGCTCAGCAGGGGATTAGACGCTAGAAGTGGTCGTTGAACCTCTGAAGCTTCGGTCAAAAAAATTTCCATGTTCATTTTTAGTTTCTGCTTTTTATTTTCAGTTTATAATTGTGATTTTGGAATCTTGGTTAATATTAGTATCTTTCGATTTTTCACCATTTTATGTTATTGAAAAAATAGAATAAAGTGAAATCCTTCGACCTAGATATATTCTTTTCTTTCGGCTCATTGAAGCATTTCGATTTTCATTGAAAGGACACGTGTCCTAGAAGGTTTATTTGAATGTGATATATTGTTTATCATGGTGCCTTGTTAATGGACATAACTTTTAGATAACTATGGTGCTTATCCTTAGGACCACCAATGAATGATGCTGATAGAATTATTATTCTATTTTTCCAGCTTGAGGAATTATATATATATATTTATTGCAAAACTTATTTTTCACAAACAATGAGGATCAAACAAAGTCTATATTTATCCACCCTAAATCAAGTAGCCAATACACTTAATAAAATTTATTGATATGAAATTTCAGTATAACACTTAAAAGGAAATATTCTGGACATAAACTTTATAATACTGTTCTATTTATCTCAATACAAGTTTAATTGATAAATTAATACGATTTTCAATTATAAAGTCTAAACTTTCAAATTCTTTCCGAAGCAAATAAAGAATATATTATCATGAATCATCATTTTTCTAATGAAACAATAGAATGTCGACTATCAAATAAATTTATTAAAGTACAAATTGAACGAATAAATAATATATCTTCGGCAAAATACTTAATTTTTTTTTGAAAATTTGGGTAAAATGATTCAGTTTGGTTTCAACGATTTTTAACTATCAAAACTTAAATCGGTCCATTTCCAGATGATTTAGTTCGGTGTTGAGTTGAAAATTGATGATTTAATGTGAACTCAAATTAACAATTTCAAAATTGCAATTTTGATTCAATCTGACAGGTTGACAATTTTTTTAAGAGGAAATTTCACGTAATGTCCATTTTCAGCGAGTCATTTGCAAAAATGTTCACAATTTTGTCAATGTCCATTTTCCAATTATGTAGATGAAAATACCCCTATTAGAAAATATTATTTCCACACAAGAATTCAAAATTTTCCATATCATTATTCATGTCAATCGACGTAGAAATGTCAATCAGCATTAAATGTCTGGGTCGGGTAGGTGTGGGTCGGGTTATGGGTCGAGTTGGATCGGATTATGAGTAAAAAATGAAAACATGATAGACCCGACCCGAATAAAAAAAAATGAAGGTGGGGGAATGAAAAAAATAAAAGAAGCCCTAAACTAAGTCCTCTCAACTCTCGCTCTCAGTCTCTCAATCTTCACTCCGACCCAACCCGCCGACAACGAGCCTGTCCATTTCTCTCTTATTTTTTCAGTTGCTATTTGCCCACCACACTTCAGAGTCCAGTGCTATAGAGTAAGTTTGTTTCGTTATTTTTTCTTTAATTCGTTATTTTTTTCACTTTCCCAAGTCTCCCCTCTTCCTAAATCCTAAAATTTAGTTAGTTTAACATAAATTGATATCAAAGTCACTGAGTGTCTCGATTCTATTGGGCGAACAAATACTAACTGTTGAAACAATTTGAGATAAAAGGTGGTATATGTGAGATACTGTCGAAGAAGTTGAAGAGGTAAAGTGTTTAAAGAAATCAGGAAAATGATTGTACTTTCTGTTGTCCATGTTATTGTATCTTTTGCTTTGAGATATAATCTATATGTCAACTAAATTTGATGCTGCTAGATGATAAATAACACTAGTACGAAGTGAAGAATACTCCATTTGAGGCATATTTTGCATCTAAGTTAGGCAATAAACATGATGAAATGACACAGGTTGTGTTGCTATTATACACTCTTAGACTATTTGAATGCTCATCAGCAACTAAATGGCTTCATTTTGGCATCAAATTTGTTCTGCATCTTGTTGAGGGTTGCATTTGTATATTAATGGTTTCTTATGGAGGAAGACTGTGATAGGTTTATAGCAGATAGAAAACTTTGTCAAATCTTATGACATATATACTTGATTTTGGGTATGGTCTGTTGTAGTTGGCTCTAAATTTATTTAATACAAGACTATGTTGTTGTTATTTATTTTGCTAAAGAATATTGCATTTTCAGTTTATTTGCATATCTAAATTAGGCAATTAAGTTAATGAAATTGTATAAGATTGTGTATATACTTTTGAACTGTTTGAATGGTGATCAACTATAAAATGGTTACATGATTGCTTCAGATCAGAAGCCATGTTTGTTTTAATTTCAACAATTAAACAACTTAGTTTAGATATGGTATTTTATCAAACCATTGTATTGTAAAAATCATTTTTCTTTCACTGCATTTTAACAAGAATGTTATATTTGATTTCGTTTGTACGTTCTCATACTATTTGTTAAAGTATTGTTTTCATTTGTTTTGATTTGTAGATGAGTATGACACATCGATATAAAATTCCGGAGGAATAATGTGTTCCGGCCCATGTGTCGCAAGTGAGCAACACAAAATATATATCAGTTGTCCTCAACAAATTGGATCCACAGCAAAAGCATCAGTTGGAGGACAGTTGTATAGGACATGCTGCAAGGTTACCGGAACTGAAACTATCTGCTCAATTAATTCATGAAATGGTAAACAGATTGGTGGTATGCTGAAAGCGATTTGAGGCTTGGTTCAAGGTGAACCAAAGGTTTGCACGATTTGGACTGCCGGAGTTCGCACTAATTACTGGCTTGAAGTGCAGTCCAGTGCCTAAAGGTGCCGAAGTTGACAAAATCCTAGAGAAAACCCGTCTACAAGATAAAATGTTTGCTAATATGGACCGGATAACGTGTAGCGACCTGGAGAAAGTTTTTTTAAAATGTGCCAACCGTAATGATCGTTACAAACTTGGGTTGGCACTAATTATTGAAAGGGTATTTAATTCAAGAGATCGAAATGTAGGAATAAATTCGACAACTCTTTCCATCGTTGACGACTTGAATTTTTTCAATGCCTACCCATGGGGGACAGTATGTTTTCAACTTTTCATCAAATCACTAATACGTGGATGGAGAAGAAAGGCGGACATGGTAAAAGTTAATGATTGTGATATGATGACTTACACATTGTACGGATTCCCTCTTACTGTCCAGGTATACATCTATTTTGGTTCATTTTAGTTCTTCTCATCGCTCATTGTTATTTATCTCCAAATATGGTTATTACTGTTACAAATGTCATGCAGATTTGGGCGTACGAGGCAATTCAGGAGTTGAGAGCTCGATTCTCGAGTAAGACTTGTGACGATGTCCCGAGAATGTTGCGGTGGTCTGGCACGAAACAACCTCATTCCCGAACATATTCAAATTTTTTTGAGAAGACAAATGTAGGCGATTTACATACTTAATTGCCTTACACTTCGCAATATATATTTTTTCATTTCGCCTATTTTTCTTCTCCTGTAAGTGCACTTGTGGACAACGCTGCAAGCAACTGTTGCAGAAGAATTGCAGTCGTACTTCGTTGATCTAGTTTCGTTGGAAGACGCAGCCGACCCTGTTCT